CTTACAGGCTTCCTTTGGTTGTCAGTAAACTGTTTATCATTTCCCCTCACTCTGTTAAATCAATTATCTTCTGGTTTGAGTATCTTGAAGGATGTTAGACTTGAGTTTGAAGATGAAGACTTCATTGAAGAATGTGGTAGAGGATGATTCCTTGAGCATTGCCATTGCAGCTGAAGCTTGAAGAGCAAGAAGACCAAGTTGATACTTGAAGATCCAATGGAGATTGAATGAAGAGTGAAGAGTTCCTTGCTTGAAGAAGATTGGATATTGGAGTTGATACTTCTTTGTGTTTGAAGATTATTATGAGAAGTTGAAGCTTGTAGATGAAGAAAAGCAAGTTGATATTGGTAAAGAAGAGAGAGCTGAAGCTTGGAGAACAAGTTGACACTTGTGAAGAAGATCCAGTTGAGATTGAGTGAAGAGCTGAGGCTTGAGGAATAAAGGATGAGTTGATACTTACATTGAAGCTTGGAGAGCCTGAAGGAATCAAGTTGATACTTGCAGTTAAGAGTGAAGCCTGAAGATAGAATTGACTGGAAAGCTGAAGCTGGAAGAAGAAGATTAAGTTGAAACTTATGTTGAAGGGTTGAGACCTGGAGAAGCAAATTGATATTTGTCATGAAAGCTGGTAGCCTTGAAGGGTGATTGAAGTCTGAAGACTGGATTGCTGTCAGAAGAGCTGAAGCTTGGAATTGAAAGAGCTATTGATCTGCTTTCTTTCTTGTCTGTTTTCTTTTCTGTATTGGTGTGACTTGTTTGACTTGCTTGATGCATTAGAATAAGTTCATATCTAGACTGACTTTAATCTAGGAGCATGATTGCACTAGAGGTTGAGTTGCTCCCTCTGCTTGTATTGTTACTGTATGGCTTTGCTTGCGGGTATTCGGTAGAGCCCTGCTCCCTTGCCCATGTGGTTTATTTTGTTTGATAGCATGTTATTTTTTACTATATGATTGCAGTTTACTGTATTTTGCTTGATAGCATGTTTTATCTTTCTGTATGATTGCAGTTATTCATATCTGGCTTGAGGTTGAGATGAGCTTGTGGAGGCTGTTGCCCCACACACATTTCCTCCCTCACTTGCATTGCATGCATTTTACAGTTGTTTACCGTATTACTGTTTACTGTTTAAGCTGATGCTTTACCTGTTTCTGTGTATCATTGATATGATCCCTTAGGAGTCTCATTTCCTTTGATAAGGAAGTGATGATAAAACTCTAGGTTGAAACCTATGCATGACAACTTCTAGGAGATCCCTGTTTCAAACTTCAACCATAGGATGAATCCTTGGCATGACAACAGTAGGACTTGATAGTCTCCCTTTAGTTGAGCCTTTCTCTTCTCATCTCAAACAGCTTAAAATACAGTAATCATGAATGATTTCTTTCGTACGTTACGAGCCTTAAGCTATTTGAGAAAGGATTGTTGGAGAGCTTCTTTTCAACAGTCTGGATGTTTAGTATGGCACCCTTTGGGTGACATGCGACGCATTCACTCTCAGGTCATAGTCTTTAGTGCGATTGAAATTGCAAACACAATAAAAAACACTTCTTTCGTAAAAGACAGAAAACAAACTTCAAACCTTTTTGCCCCGTGGGCCCATAATTCAAAGGAAACTTTTCTGAAGAAAAGAGTGTCGTTAAACTTCAGCGCCAACGCAAACAGGCTTTGTCCCTAACTGCTGGAACTGTTGTTTAACCCTACTCGATAAAACAGATGAATCTGAATTCCCCTAATCCGTATTACCCCGAACTATGTAAGCTCTGATCTCTCATATCTGTTGAGAGTACGTAGGCACAATACTGATGTATTGGCGAGCCACCTTCCCCCATAACCCGTCGTAGGTCGAACTACGTTGACTCTGATTTCTCATTCTCTAATGGGAATACGTAGGCATAAAGCGCGATGCTTTGCCGAGTCATTTTCTTTTCAGTTTCAGACCAGCCTTGATAGGTAGATAGACAAAACCAACTCGTCCAGTAAACACAACAAGCGTGGATCCCGTCGAATACGACGGACATGAGGGGTGCTAATACCTTCCCCTTGCGTAACCGACTCCCGAACCCAAACAACGGTTGCGATGACCTTGTCTTATACCTTTTTCGTCAGGTTTTTCCGATCGTTTCCTTTCCTGCTCTGAGGGATAAATAACGAAAGGTGGCGACTCTTCTGTTTTGCCGGCACCTTATTTTCGCGGAAGCGACACATTGTATTCAATCATATCCAAAGACATCATATCTTTGTCAATCCTTTCGTCAAAGAATTTCAAGATTTTTGCAAACTTTAATAAATTTCTAATATTCAATTTTTCAACTAATGATGCATATGATTACTTTGTGAACTCTTGATAGTATTTACCATCTATCATCAAATCATAACACTTTTGTAATATTAGTACAATTTTCATATATAACCTATGTTCTATATTCTTGATAGTTTCGATAAACTATCATCATGACACTTGTTTTACTTCCACTTAAATATATCTGAAATATATTTAATTCATTAAACATTTATAGCAATCGCCAACCACAATTAAACAAATTTGTCATGACTAACTTTTATTTCATGAAGTGAATTCAAACAAGTAATTCATAAACTCCATATAAATACAACACCATAGAATTCATTTTTATTATTTTTAAAATAAACAATTTTCTTGCATAACAAATTTTATGTGATAAATTCATGTTTCATACTTAACAATGTTCTATTATCCAAATAAAAATCACAATACAAAGTAAATAATGAATTCATATCATTAATATTTTCTATAACTTTTCTCTATAAATATTTGTCAACTTACAATAACTTAAAATATGTCAAAATTACTTTTAATATCAGGATGAACAAAAATAATACTTTCATATTATAATACGCATATAATATAAAATACATCATTTAAATTTAATAAGTTCTAGCAAAAACTAAAATGCAATTCAAACATGTCCTTGATATTTCTAACCGTTTATTTACATCATTTCATATTACCAACACCATACATTCAAATTCATGATTTTTTTTTCACCAAATTATTTTATCTAAACTTTATTCATTATTAATTAAAACAAATTACTTGCACCAAAAATAATATTTAACATGTATTTTATATTCAAGTATATACCATAAACCAAACATATTCTTTATTATTCAAATTCACATACTTGAATAATTTATAAATCATGCATATATATATATAAGTTTATTCCATATGTTAAAAAATTATATAAATGACATATTTATTTAATATAGTTATGTACCTTTCACCATGGACATGAATAAATAAAGATGTAAGTTTATCACTCCATCAAAGTTCTTTCACCATCATTGAAAGTTGTTATCATCTTCTTTAAACTTGCATACTTTAATATTAATTATAAATAAAGTATGGATCAAAATAAAAAATCGAACCTAAAGATTGTTAGACCTTATGTTGGGGGTCTGCTGCAAAATATTAATTATAAATAAAGTATGGATCAAAGCGTGTGTCTACACTAAGTTTTAGGTTCGATCCGTCCCCAACAATTTATGCAAATTGGATGCAAAAGGGTTAACCGGCGAATCCCTTTCAAGATACTTTAGAAATCTTAACGTGAATCGCACATTCACATTAAGCATATTGATTACTGATATTTTACTGAATAAGGTTTCCTCATTTATTCTCTTGCACAAGAAAAATAAAAGAATGATTTAGATATAATTTTTTGCCACTTGAAACAAATAGTTTTTGTGTTTTTTTATACCTAATAAGTATCTCTATTTATAGAAACACTTGTATCAATTGATTAGCAGAAACAATGTTTCAATGGTTTAAACATGACCATTCACAAACCATTATATATCAACAATAACAAACAATTTAATGAAAAATTGTGTTGATCTGTATAGTTGCACCTTATGATCACACGATCTATCACAATAAAGTCTTTGGTTCAATTCTATAGAGAGTCAACTTTTGACATTTAACCATTATTATTTATCAACTTTATATATATAACTAAAAAAAATCAAATGATAATTATATTATACTACACATTTATAAATTAATATGTGTCCCACATTTTAAAATCTCTAACTCTGTCTTTGATAATAGTATACTTTTGAAAATATTGTGATTAAAAGAATTGGTACATGTATGTTCACGGGATTTCCTCGTACACTAACATATATTGATTCAAATATTTACCTTTTTTAGGACAGAGAACATGACTTTTCACTTTATTTTAAATATTCACATTGTTATGCAAAGAGACTTTGTCGTATTACTACTTTCTAACCTATACAAATAAACATTTGTAAAAAAAACCAATATTAAAACAAACATCCATATAGTAAAATGTAAAAGTAATATAAAAAAAATTCTAAGAAAAACCATTAGGATATCAATATCTGAAAATTATAAAGTTAATTAATGGTTAAATTTTTTCAAAAAAAAAAAATTGATGGTTAAAACTATTGAACAAATTAAAAAAAATGAAATGATAATTAAACCATTTCTACACATATTCCAAAGTCATCATGTCAGAATTAAATGGATATTTGAGGGAAAAAAAACGTTCCTACATTTGCATACGTTCTCACATTTGAAAACTTTCTTTCCTGTACTTTCCTATTCAATTAATATTAAAATATTATATTTCAAAGGTCAATAATTATATGGACATTTATTTTAGAAATTGATGGAATCTATTTTAGAGTTTTTAATGAGTTGTATGGATATCTGAAATATGTAATTGAGTTGTTTAGAAAATATAGAAATATAATATAATATAAAAAATTATGTGGGTCCTGTTTAAAGAACCAAAACGTGGTTGATGAGTATGGATGGTCTAATCATCTATATGTCTGCAACACAAACACTATATTTTTTAATTAAAAAAATAAGGATGGTCACATAATAATATTCATGAACTAACTGATTACTACTAGTAACTACTAACATTAAATTTCACAACTACCATACACCAAAACCTCATCTCCTTTTACATGTTCTTTTCAATTCAACTTGCCTGCATCTCAACAACCACCGGACCATTTTCCGGCAACCCATCTCCGGCAACCGTAGAAGAAGAACAAACCGTCTTCTTTTCTTTCTCAAGAAGTGAATTTCTACAATTTGGACAAGAAGAATGTGACACCAACCACGTGTCAATACACCTAACATGAAACCCGTGATTACACTTTGGCAGCATTCGAACTTTGTCTTCTTTCTCGAATTCCCCGAGACAAATGGGGCACTCCGTCGCCGGAATATTTTCTCCAGTACCGTAGACCGCCACCGGAATCTTACTCAGCTCACGCTTTTTTAGTCCTGTTTTGTTCAACCTGGCCGTGGCTTGTTCCGGTGTTTCTTCCGAGAATCTTCTGCTGCATCGCATGGCGCACCGAGCTATGGTGTTCAACCCCAAAGCGCAGATTAATGCGCATAACAGTGCTGCTAATATAATCACCATGTTTGTATCGAAATTCTCCGCGTTGATGAATGAATCGCTTGTGTTGTTTTCGTATGATGGTGGAATACTCATCTCTGTGTCGAGAAATCTGCGTTTCATGATTCTGTTTGTGGAAATCTTGAAGATTTAGGGTGAAAATTTTGTTGGTTTTTTTTAATGCAGGAGAATTTGATGGGGTTGTGTGTGTTTTTGTGGTTGTGGTGGTTTTCAATTTTCTATAGTAGCAGAAAATTATGTGACTCTGTGAAGTTATAGAAACAGTCACTGAAACAATCTACACCGTTTGATTAGGATGTAACAACTCACATTAATTTTTTAAAAATATTTATTTGAAAAAATTGTACAAATTTAAAAGTTTTCGCATTTAACGAGATGGTAAGAAAATTTTCCAACTTTAAGAAAACTATGAGTTCGAATTCAGCTAACTTAAGAAGAAACCGTGAGTTCGAATTCAGTTTTGGACACGCAGCACACCTACGAGTGTTATCTATGGTGAATGAAAGAAAATGAAAGTATTAAGCTGTTGTTTTTGGATGGTAGCACTAATCCAAAACTGGGACCATTTTCTGCGGCTTGTTTGATTATTCAGAATGGTCCTAGCTGATACATTAATTAATGATATAAAAACAAAATTTTAGAAATAATGCAAATGAAAATGATTGGAGAACAGAATAATGAAATGTTTTACCTGAATTTCATAAATGAAAATAATTGATGTTATTCTACATAGTCATAAGAGAGGTTAGTGAGATTTAGATTAGTCCCTTGAAGTATACAATTTATAGCAATTGGGGTTGTTTAGTTGTTGGCCTTAAAAGGGATAAAATTATAACTTAACTAATCAATTAGGAGATACTTAATTAAGTTAGGTATAAAAAAAATAAAATAAAAAAAAATGCAGAGTGAAAGTATAACTAGTAAAATAAACAGGGTCCAGTGGACATGGTTTGCTTACCTAATTATAATTTAAATAAATTATATAAAACATTAATAAATAGGTTTAGTAACAAATTAACCTAATGGTAATTTCTTTGTTTGTGGCGAAACGGGCCATTCCATCTAAAGGGTGGCGATCTATCAATAAACTTAAAACAGTAGTAGTATAGAATAGCTTGAGTTAACTTCAATCTAATCTTAAAATAGTGAACTTATGAGGCTACATTTCAGGTAGTTATTATGGATTGGTTTAATGGTGGAATCCGATGTCAAGATAATCCGCCTGATTACGTTGGGCTACTATTATTAGGCTGTTTTCGAGCTTAGAATTAGGAAAGTTTACGGTTCGATTTGAATCGATTTTGAAGTAAAATATTATTTGATTTAAAAATAAATTTATTTGTGGTTCGGTTAAATTTTAAACGATTGGTTAAAAAATCCAATCCAATTTCTTACGGTTTAATTTGAATCTGTTTTTTGATATTCAAATTATAAATTATAATTTTATTAATATTATAAAAACACTAATAAATAATAAATTTGATATAACATATAATATATATTATATTAAAAATTAATATTACAAAATAATAATGATTGGTTATGATTGAAATAGATGAAATAATAAAAATTAATAGATTAAATCAAACTAATAAATAATATATTTTTTTAAAAGTATCATCTAATAATAAATTAATATAATATATTATATTAATAAAAAATAAACAAGTATAAATATATATACATGCGGTTTGGATCGATTTTGAAAAATCAATTCGAAATCTGATATGAACCGAGTTGTTTTTACAAATAACATCCAAACACATCCAATAATTTTCAATTTTTTTTGCAGTTTTTGATTTTTTTTTTATTGGTTTGTGATTTTTATTTGGATCAGTTTGAATTTGAACATCTCTACTCAGAACTGGGAGGGGGCAAGACACGGTTAGACAAGTCTTTATTAACCTAATAGTCTGCTGAACGGATTAGACATCATTTATGGTAGAGTTCAATGACCATTAATGTCAACCATGGTATTTGATGACATTCAAGACTTTTGTCTTGGACCTAAGAGGAAAAAGAGAGTATAAAACAAGAATTTAAGTAACGAAAAGGTGGACTCAATTCTTACATAAAAACAACTCAATTGTGACTCTTATGGTCAACATCAGATGAGTTATTCATTAATATTCTTGCGTAAATATTTGGTGTCCACTGTGGGACACACAAAATTTGACTCGACCCTTAGGTTCTATTTGCTTTCAATTTATCATAATTGATGGCGTGAAGACAAGCACAATAAGGAACATTAAAGAAAGTGGTGACAATAATCACCCTTAGGTTACAAGATGAATTGTCGAACTATGTGCTTGCAGGTTTAATAAAGAAGTATTCTAGGCTAAAACAAGTCATGTCTATCATAGTTTAGTTTTGATGATGACAACCTGTAAGGATGATGCAACCTTTGGTGACAACCTATGAAGATCCAATCTAACCTTAGAGCATAAAGACAAACAAGTATTTCAAGTGGTCAAAGAAACACAAGAAAGTTTATTCAAGCTCTTCCTCTAAATAAAGTCGAAGAGTTAGGGTTTAATTACCACCAGTGATGACATCCAACTTGAAGATGTCTCAGACCTCACCTCTAAGAAGATTCAAGCAAATGCTTATATGATTGACGTGATCACCAAAGTCTTGCAACTTTAAAGTGTGAATGAGATGAAGTGTGAAAGTCTGCCTAGTCATGTCTGAGTGTTCAATGTTTTATAAATATACAAGGGAGTTTTTGTAAAGTAACATGGTTGAATCACGTATTCACTAAAACCCTTTTAAAAGCCTCTATTTCTGTTAAGTGTGGATTTTGACTTAAAATGAACTATCTTTCTTGGCACTTTTCAACTTATTTCTCATGTTTTTATAGATTTAATTCTTGTTCTTGTGCGGTTCTTCAATTATACTACAAATACATTTGGATTCTTTGATGTGTGTTATTATGTAGGAAATAGGCATAAAACATCAATGACTAATACACAAAGGAGTGGACAAGGAAGCCAAACAAAAGAAGAGGAATCAGCAAGTTCGTTATGCAAACAACCAGCGAGGATCAACATTGAATGTTCGTTGGGCGAACAACTGGTGAAGCCCCAACGAACCATCTCAAATTAGAGGAAGAAAGAAAAAGATTATAAGTCCGCTGGGCAAACTTGAAGTGAATGTTTGCTAGGTGAGGTTGCAGCGAAGGACCAGCGAACCATCCCAATTTTGAGGCAGTAGCTAAAGGACGCTAAGTTCGTTGTGTAAACTTATAGCGAAGTGGTTCGCTGTGTGAAGAATTTCTCGCACAACGAACTCAGATATTTTCAAAGGGCAGTTTAACTGTTCAGAGGCACTTCAGGTGCCTAAAAGTGTGTTCGTTGGGCGAAGAAATGGTTCGCAATATGAACATGACAAATTTTTGTTTTACTATATATGTTTGTGAACTAGTTTTGATTTAATATTGTTTATTGTCTTTGATTTCTTATTTGTGGGTCTAACAAAATATTTTTCAAATCTTAGATTTTAGATATTCATCTATCAATGGGAAAACTTTTGACATGGTCTTGTGAGTTGATATTCATTTGCGTCACATTTATTTTATTGGGTTGCTTAGTAACATGAGTAGCATGATAGGATCAATACGGTAAACACCACAATAACGCTTGACAAACGATATTGCAAGAATGTGTGATAATAGAGATGAAGAACTATGTTCACCTACATTTGGAAAATTAGTTGAATACATGTAAAAATGATTAATCATGTGTACGTATTCTGATCATGGCGTTATATATGAATCAAATCATTAATTTGATATGGATGTTATTTGAATATATGTTAAGTCTAAACTCTAGACATTGATTTAGGTTTAACATTCACGTGAGTATCAGTTCTTAATGCTCTGTGTTGGTTTTATTGCGTGAGACATCACCGATGAGACAATACGACTGACCTCTCGACTTTGCGTTAGACATAACCTCTATTGTAGGTGATACATGATGGTATTAGACGAAAGTTTGAGTCGTGTATAACATGATTAGAAGAATGCATGTGTTATCAATTGATGAGATCCAATCCCAACAAGGCTCCGTTTATATTTCAATCTTTACTTTATACTTTCTGTCATTATATTTTCAGCCTTTAATTATGATCCTTTGATCTGTTAACCAATTTAATCAAAATAAGTTTAGAAATGTAGAAACTGTTGAAATGTGTTTTTTCCCTTATACTAATGCTTGCGGAGATGATATAAATTTTGGAGGGAATTCTTCCTAATCTAAATTTTTTGTTTCTGAGCGCTTTACAACAATTTGAACAAAATGGCGTCGTTGTCGAGTACTGGTGTTTAGATATTTAAGTGCAATGCAATAATTTCTATATTTTTAAGCTTTGTATAGTGTTTATATTGTATATATACTTGTTTCTTTTCATATTTTCTTAAGTGTTGGTAGGAATAAATGATGAGAACTTCTTCTAGATTGGTTGCTATTTGTATAAAAGTATTCAATGAAGATTCTCCCATGTTTTGATGGTGATGGTAGGATATTGAGTGTGAGAATGCAAACAAAGTAAACTGTACCGCTTTATATAACGTTAGAATGATTTAAAAAATTTGTGCTTTGTGCAAATGCGTATTCTTGTTTCTTGCTGCAACTCGTTTGAATGCTTGTTTCACTTAGGTCCAAAACCACAAATCGTGAGAAACCTCCATTGTTTGTTATATGCTAGGATGACTGATAACTTTGTTTAATTTTTTTTATTCATGCTTTATCTTTTGATTATTGTGATTTTGTGGAAGCATTAGAAATAATCAAGGCATTTGTTTATATAAAGCACAACCGTATCCAAACAGTAACTTACCCGTGAGTAATGAGTAATCGTTAACCTCTTTTGAGCCTAAACAATTTAGTTCTCATTTTAGTGATGAACTTGGTTTATGTACATAATTTGAAAGTTTTGTTCATCATTGAATTTTGTGATATTTTAAAAAAAATTCTTGAACCTTTGAACATTGCTTTAAATTGATTTTATTGCCATAAAAAGTAAGGAACATTTACTTGAGGTTTGGTTGAATTCAAGTTGGGGATAATGAAAAATAAAAATGATGGGTTGCTAAAACTTTTGAA